GGCTTGCGGAGGGAGGCGAGGCGACGGCAGCAGGGCGGCGCCGGCGACGGGCGCCGTCGTCGAGGTCGCGAGCGAGGCGGGATCGGGGCGATCCCGATTCAGATCGAGGAGGAGCGGGCGACGTGGGGATCGAGCGAGTGGGGGTGTGGGGATTTAGGGTTTCGGTCGATGGGGGTTATTGGGAGTGGGGTGGGCCGGCCTGGTGGCCCAGAGGCCAGCGAGGCCGAAGCCCAATGGGGGAGGGGGTTTGCTCTCTCTTTTTTTTTGGTTAGTTTGTTTTCTGTTTTTTGTATTTTCTTTCTTTTATTTCTTTACTCTTTATTTATTTTTCCTTTCTGTTTTATTTCTAGTTTCTCTTTCATTTAGTTTTTATCTAATATTAAAATGATCCCAAATTTAGTAATACATTAAAACCCACTATAACAATAGGTCTTACCCCAAAACAAATTAGTTTAGTATTTTGTTAATTATAAAAGCATTTAAATATTGGTTTTTGCTACTGTTTTATTCACCTAAGGGCATTTAAACATTTTATAAAAATGTGGTTTCTCCACCGTAATTACCTATGCATTAGTTGGATCACTCTGAACATTTTAGTGTTAATATTTGAAAACTTTTATTGTTTCATTGATTTTTTTGAATTTGAATTCGAATCGGTTCCGAACTAACGCGAGATTAGCAACAGTAACCGTGGTGACGTGGCATCATTAACGGAGGTTTACTGTAGCTTAATTACCCGGGCGTCACAATTCTCCTCCACTACAAGAAATCTCGTCCCGAGATTTAGGAGCAGGAGTAAGGGGGAAGGGATCTGGTTACGAAATTCTAACGGACCTTCTCGGCCTTGGTTGCTCTTCTCGAAGAGGTCGATCCCTTACATTGACGTCTTCATTACTCTGCTTCAGGTCATCATGGTGAAGTCGTCCTTTTCTTCGGGAACTCCAACGTACTTACGAATAGGTAAGGGGCAGCTCGGCTACGACATAATGCTTATGAGGGAAACAATCTGGGGTTAACCAATGAATGAGCATAAGATTATCTCTCGAGTTGAACATATAAAATACATCGAGAGTAAGGTACGAAGGTACAATAAGAGGTTCCAAGCGGATAGGTGGTTGCTCGAAGTCCGAACCAGAGTGAGAAAGGGGTTCAAAGTAGCGACAGTAAGTATTGCGTCTGATACCATAATAGAGCACTAGGAAGGTGGCCCATGAATTAAATATGAAGCCAAGCGTGGGGAATAACCACTAGAAACAGGGTTGTACGGGAGAGTCAGGTTTTGATCCAGTGGACCTGTGGGTTATGGGCCCACCATGTGGGTTAGAAGTAGGAAGGGCGGAGACGTCTTGCGTGATCATGCAAGCAAGGCATGTCAGGGGGGTAGCCTGCCGATTATGTCGGCGACAATGTCGATACCAAGAGCGAGGGACGAAGAGAAC